TAAACGCCCGCGCTCTAGAGAACGGCGCCCGCCCTCTAGCAACGGCGCCCACCCTCAAGAGAACGGCGCCCGCCCTCTAGCAACGGCGCCCGCCCTCTAGTGAACGGCGCCCGCACTCTAGCAATTGGCATCCTTAGGGCACGTGTGATCTATTTTCAAGTTCGGGAAAAAGGTCGAACTTTGTGTGGTTACCAGCTTCGCTAATGTCGTCAGGAAGCGTTGGCGAAGGCATGAGAATTTTGGGGCACATAAGTTCGAATGTCAAATGTGAACTCAACTCGAATCACACGAGAGTGAACGTGCGGGTGCACGTGAGGCGAGTGTGTGTTGTTTTCAGCACGTACGAAGGCCATCCGAAAATCGCGACCGCTTTGCGAAGGTCGTTGAATTTTGTCGCGCATTACGTTAACGTGTCGCGCTGTACCAGGTAACCTACTTCCCTACGGGCGGCTCGCCGCCATCCCTAAAAGGTCGAATCTCTGTGTTCGACCTTGGGTGTGTGATTGTGACTCGTCTGTGTTGGAGACCCAAGATTCGAACTTCGCTGGAAAGAAAGTCGAGTTTTGTTCAAATGCTACATTCGACCTAAAAACATAAACTTTCACAAATTTGTAAGACCACTCGCGCCCTTAGGTCTTGACTCAACCTCCGTGGACGAGCCTTGCGGAGGAACCCTTGGGTTTTGCGGGACCCCTGGATTAAGACGCTCCTCTGGATAAGGCTGACCCCTGGATTAAGCCGACCCCTGGATTAAGCCGACCCCTGGATTAAGCCGAACACTGGATTAAGCCGACCCCTTGATTAAGCCGACCCCTGGATTAAGCCGACCCCTGGATTAAGCCGACCCCTGGATTAAGCCGACCCCTGGATTAAGGCGTCCCCGTGGATTAGGGCGGCCCGCCAATGAACACCCGCCCCTAAACATCCGCCTCTAAACACCCGCCACCCGCCATTTACGAATGTAAACGGCAGGCAAGAAACAGTTGTTTTTTGGAAGTGACGACTCTTCACTCGACTCAGAAGCAATCTCACCTGCGCTGCAATCTCAACTGCGCTGCAGCCTCACCTGTGCTGCAATCTCACCTGCGCTGCAATCTCACCTGTGCTGCAACTTCACCTGTGCTGCAATCTCACCTGTGCTGCAATCTCACCTGTGCTGCAATCTCACCTGTGCTGCAATCTAACCTGCGCTGCAATCTCACCTGCGCTGCAATCTCACCTGCGCTGCAATCTCACCTGCGCTGAAATCTCACCTGTGCTGCAATCTCACCTGTGCTGCAATCTTGTAGATGGTCGGATCTGGTTTCTTCTTTGGGACGTCGTCGCCTGGTGGCAGGCACATGAGGAGAGGAGCGCAACGGAGGAGGAAAAATGGAGGTTTATGCAAAGAGAGGTGGCGGCACGCAAAGGTGGCGGCATGCAAAGGTGGCGGCATGCAAAAGTGGAGGTACGCAGAGGGGTTTATGAGACAGATCTGGATCTAGAAAAAATGAGGTAATTGTAGAGTGGAGGAATTAACTAGGAAGAAGGCAGGAAAAAATGACGACAAGAGGCGGTAGACAAGTAACTGTTTCTGCAACCCCTGCACTTCTGATGGCTCGAAAAGACGCATGTGAAATGAAACGCGCGACCAACGAAGCAGAAGAGAGGCAGGTAAGAGACACCCACCTGCCAAGAAGCAGTCCAGCCGATCAAACCTCTCCTGGAAAGGAAGACGAGGAGGGAAAGGAGGAAGAAAAGGAGCAGTGGGAGAGAACAGAAGGGAGGGAGGGAGTTGACAGAGCGGGGTGCTAGTTGACAAAGGAGCAAGTATGGGAGTTTGGGTTCAGAGCTAAGGAGCACGAGCGAAAAGAAAGGATGGTAAACAAAAGAACGTGGCACTTATGGCGATTTCTCAGGCACATAACAAACTGAGTTGGATGTGGGAGTTTAGATGGGGATGGGATGGGCCAAGGGCGAAGGGTGTAAAGAGCACCTTACCCAGAAGCTTATTGAGGGTAAGATCTATTTCTGAGGCACCACCATACAAATAGAGCAAGGGGGAATGAACAGTACCTTCCCAAGCAGGCTGGTGAGAGTGAAGACGACTGAGCTCTTGGTGGCCGCAGAACACACCGCCACCAGCAGACCCTGAGACGAGGGGGGAGAGGGGGCGAGGGGGGGGGAAGTGGGGTTTGAGGGGGTAAGCAGGGGGGAGAGAATATTGAGTCAGCTCAAACGTCGACTGAGCTCTTGGTGGCTGCAAAACACACCGCCACCAGCAGACCCTGAGACGAAGGAGAGAGGGGGGAGGACGGGGGGGAGAATGGGGGAAGAAAGGCGCGGGACAGGTGGGGAAGTGGGGGAATGGGGAGAGAATATTGAGTCGACTTGAAAGACAACTGAGCTCTTAGTGGCTGCAGAACACACCGCCACCAGCAGACCCTGAGTGCCGGGGGGAGGGGGAAGGATGGGGAGAAGGGGAAGAGACAGGGAAGGGCAGTGAGCCTCTTGTCCTCTTTATACCACCTTTCCCCCATACCTCCAGTCAAGAGACAACATTTCAAGAACGTTAAATCCCGTCTCAAAAAACACATCCCCTCCTATCCCGCATGCGGCTCCCTTCCTCTTTTCAATCCCCCGCTCTCCCTCTTCTTCCACCAAGGTGACTTTTGAGTCGACTCAAAAGTCACCACAGCTCCCTTGCTCTTTCCATCCCCCCGCTCTCCCTCCTCTTCTTCCACCCACATCCCTCCACGTACCCTCTGTCTCGCTTCATCAATCAGCTCTAACACGCCTGGCCGCACTGGCACCTGCAGGAGGGGAGAGTACGGGGAGAAGGGAGGAGGAACGGGAGGGAAAAAGGGAGGATAGGGGTGAGGAGGCAAGAGCGAGAAGACTATCAGGAGCTGGTGAAGGGTGCAGCCGTGTTTAGAGCCATATACAGTAACGACAACATCTGTTGAAACTAACTGAAGGACCCGTAAATTGGTGTAATAGACGGTCGCCATCATGCACACACCAGCCCCCACCCAATCATTTGCTCACCTGCCCCGAGCCAATCATCTGCTGATACTTGTCCGTCTTCCAATCCTGGTGGCAGCACGCGTGGTAAGAGCGTGTGTGGTGTGTCGAGCATGGAAGGACGCAGAGAGAGAGACGCAGAGAACGGGGAGCACACAGTGAGATGCGGCTTCTGAGTCGGCTTGTAGTTCACTCTGGTCTGGTAGGTGCCGTCAGCCATGTGGACTGGAAGAGCTGCAGTCGGGAAGCCAAAGCGGATGCGGCTTTTAAATTGGCTTGTAGTTCACTCTGGTATGTGCCGTGCAGGTATGCAGTGGCGGAGAAACAAGGAGCAAGGGGAGCAAGGTTAACACAGAGAAGGCGGTGAGATGCGGCAGGGGAAGTGGAGGGGAAGGGGAGGGGAAGGGGAGGGGGAGAGGCAGTGCTCGGTGATGGGGACATGAAGGAGGCTGCAGCACCAGTGACTGACCATCTCCATACAGTCACATTGTCCGCATGCACCAAGTATCACCTGCAGCGTGTCTATAAGCACGTCCTTGTCAGCATCCGTGGCGGGAGGGGCGGGGAGAAATGACGAATGCGGCCACCCATTTTTGTTGAAGTACCTGCACATGGCGTCGCGAGTTTCAGGCATGATCTGCTGTCAGCATACCATGGAAAGAACGTGGTGTGATGAAATGGAATGGAATGTGATGAAATGTAATGAATGGGATGGAAACGGGTGTACTGGTATGGGGGTATACGGTATTGGATAATGACTTTTGAGAATCCTCAAAAGTGATTTTTGAGTCGACTCATTAGTCCATACGTTATGGGGTATGGCAGCCGCCGCGCACCTTCCCTACATAAACAGTACGACACGACCAATCGTCAGGGACACACACACCATCGCATCTTGGGTTTCCCGCCGCCGATCTTATTCTGCAGCACGTCGTAGAACTCCGTCGTCCAATCAACGACGGCGTTCTCTCCCGGGCACCGAATCGCGAAGTGCGCGAACGCCGCGTTATAAGCGCGCCGATGGAGGTCCTCCGACTCGAGAATCACCCCGTCGCAGTCGAACACGAGCGCACTTATTGGCGCTTGACCGCCCGGCGACGTGGCGGCCGCGACGACCGTCCGATCGGCTGACGCGGACACCTGGCCTGCGACGCGACGCGGCGCTGTTCTAAGCGCGGGAGTGCTCATTCTACGTTCGACACGAGCGATGAATGCGGGATTGCAGGCATTGCCTCTGCTGCTTAAGAGAACCTGCTTCTTCCCGTTGAAGAGAGTGGCTGTTGAGGCCGCGGATGCTGCGGCTAAACTCACGGACTCCATGGCTATGGCGTTGCTTTACCTGCTAACTGGAATGAATATACTTGACTTACATAAATGACTGATGGCCTGCATAAATAAAACGTGGACTATGTATACAGTTGAATGTCTCCCTCAAACGGTTTAGCTTTTGGAGCGTACGTGATAAAACATGTACCGAATGGACGGCCAATGGCCAATTGCCATGTGCTGATTCGGCACTGCCTTCAAGGTCCAAACGAACGGTCCGAATCTGTTCATCCTGGTAACGGTCAAGGGCCGGCGCTCCCATCACGTGGTGCCATGCCATCACTCAACGTACGGCTCTCAGCTGCTCCCGCTCCTGGCAGTGCGCAATGCTTGGCTCGGATGACTGTGCGTTCAGCGGCGACTGATTGGCACAGGTTCCGCCACCACCCTAGGAACTCCATGCCATGAAAGAAAGACCTGCTGCTTTGAAGAGACGGAGTATGATTCAGTGACTGTTTAACTGTAGAGGAGAGAAGGCAGCGGGATTGGCGGCGGCGCGTGTGATTCTCCCCACAGGCTCCCCCATTGCCGGCGGGTAGAGAGATATATTAGTCTGCCCGTGTTTCGCGTCGCGCTTTGATTGTGTTGGGCTTTGACGCCGCGTCGGCTGATTACCTGCCCGTAAAGTCTCTATTTTATTTTTAAGTACTCTCAGTGTTGAGTGAGCGACCATGAGCGCGGTGCGCGAATACCCCAACGATCCGCTTTGCGCCGACGGCGGCGCGCGCGCCTTCTCGGGGGAAGCGGAGGGCGCTGACGTGTTCCGCGTGATCATTGTCGGCGCGGGGCCGGCGGGCCTGGCGCTGGCGAATTACCTGCTGGCACGTGGCGGCGGCAGGTTCCACGTCAGCGTGATTGAAAAGGGCGTAGATCCGCGCGCGGAGGTTGAAGAGGCGGCAGAGATCGCGCGCCGGTGAGCGGGGGGGAGGGAAGTAGGGGAGGGGGAAGGGGAAAGCGAGAAGGGGACAGGGGAAGGGGAGGCGGCGAAATTGGGGAGGAAGGGGGGGAAGGTGGGGGCAGAGGAGGAAATATGGGAGACGGGAAGTGGGTGGGGGAATAAGAAGATGCGGAATTTGAGCAGCTTTGCCCGGAATACCTTTTTCCCCTATGCTCCAGTCTTCGTTCCCTTTTCCGCTCGTCTCTCCCCCTTATCCGCTCAGGGGTCAAGTTCTTCTGAGCCTTCTCAAAACTTCTCCCTTACCTTCTCCATCTCCCCCCGCTTTTCCCCCTCTCCCCCGTTTTCCCCCGAATCCGATGTGAATGGCGGCAGGTACGCCATGGGGCTGAGCATTCGCGCGATGCACTGCCTGATGGCCATTCCGGGAGTCATGGACAAGGTGGGTTGCAGAGTCTGATGTGTGCTGGGTGGGGTGGGGTGTGTGGTAGGTGGGGTGTGTGGTAGGTGGGGTGTGTGGTAGGTGGGGTGTGTGTTTGCGCATACATGCTTCACAATCCCCTCTCCCTCCTAATCTCTTCATTGTCCTCCCTATTCCTCCTTCCATGGCATATCCCGCCCGCACGCCAGCAGGCACAGCAAGCTATGAGACCCCTCCCAACCTACTCTCTCATCCAATCGCCTCCTGCCACGTGTGCAGGTGCAGCCAGTGCTGGTGAACCCACACGAGATGGTCATGCCTGCCTTCGGCCGCCTCATCAGGTTCTCAGTGCCCAAGGTAGGCTTTAATGCCCAAGGTGGGTTTATTAGGCTGCTAAAGGTCGGTATTTTTCTTAGGCTTCTCAAAACTCTTCTGTATTAACCATTGTTTCGATCTTTCCCTCATTTTCAGTCAGTTCATTGTCCGCCTCTGGCTAGAGTTCCGCGATCCCTTTCCCTCCTCCCCCATTCCTACACAACGAATGGTCACTCCTTGTTTTCAGGACCCCCCTCAAGGCCTCGTCTCTCGCACGGACCTTTGTGCCACTCTGCTTGACGCACTTATCGAGAGAGCTACTAAGGGGTACAAACCTGCGACCGCAAGTGAAGAAATTTCTGATGAGGATAGGGGGAAGACTAGTGCTGAGGAACAGAAGCACCTGAAGAAACACCTGAGCAAGCACCTGGCAGTGTATTTTGAGTCAAGGATTGTGGATGTGGATATGAAGGGCCACGTGGTCACTGCTTCTGTGCCTCGCAGCAGTGGCAGTGGCAGTGGAGACAGCAGCAACAGTGGCAGCAGTAACAGCAGCGACAGCAGCACCAGCAGCAGCAGCGCAGGTTGCAGCAGTGGTGAGAGCAGCAACAGTGGTGACAGCAGCAATGGGGGTGGTGGCAGTGGCTTGGAGAACGTTGAGATCAAATTTGACCTTTTGGTGAGTGAGTGAGTGTGTCAGGGATGCATGGAGTGAGGGAGTGAAGAAAATTCTGGGAGTTGGGATGATGGAGAGAGTGGGAGAGGGAATGAGAGGATAGTGGAGCGAATAAAAGGTGATTTCTTGACGTGCCCGTGTGCCTCTCCCCGCCTCTCCTGTTTTCTTCTTCCTCCCCATCAGGTGGGGGCGGACGGGGTGCGTTCCTATGTGCGCAACCTGTTGGCTGCACGCACGTGGGATTTCCCCGTACACACGGACCGTGTGTATCACGACTGGACTGTTGTCAGCATACCCGTGCCGCCCGCCCTCACACCCACCTCTCTCTTCTTCACTGCGAAGGTCTGTTTATGCTCTCTTTGCAACTATACTTCTTGGCCTATTTTCTACTCCGTCCTCACTCTGAGTATCCCTCGCTCGTTATTCCACTATCCCTCTCACTCCCCTCCCCACCGCCCCTCTTCAACAGGTCACCAACACAAAAAACATCGGGGCGGTGGCAATGCCGCAGGTGGGTGGCGAGATGTGTCTGGTGTGGGGGTGGAAGTCCACCGACCCGCCTCTAGACTGGCTCTCTCTCGCCTCCCCAGCTGCTGCCAAACAATACCTCCATGAGAGATTGCCCTGGCTGGATGTCCCTGAGGAAGCTGCCTGGAAGCTGCTGAAGCAGAAGCCAAGGACGAGCATGCAGGTGGGTTACTCTTTCTTTCTCGCCCCCTGTCCGTTTCTCTTGTTTCTCGTGGTAGTGGTGGCGGTACCACGACACAGGCACCCAAGTGGCCTGGTTAGGCGATGCAGCACACTTCATCACACACTCTCTCCCTGCGGGACCTCCCCCTCTACACGCCACTTCCCCACCACCAGGTGAAGTGCTGGCGCTACCATGACAGTGACGCCCAGGTGGCCCTGATAGGCGATGCAGCGCACTCCACGCTGCCCTCTCTGGGCCAGGGCTGCAACGCCTCCATCACGGACGCGCTCGTGCTGGGCAGGTTGCTGCTGGGGGAGGCGGTATCTGAGAACGACAGGGTCCCCCGCCCCCTGGGCAAGGATGGCGCTGCTGCTGGTGGTGGTGGTGGGGATGGAGGGGCAAGCATAGATGTACCAGAGGTTGAGGAGTTGAGGGCAGGCCTTGCAGCCACTCTCTCCCGTTATTCCGCTCTCCAGGTCCGTGCCCTCAGTTGTCACATGGGTTTTCATTCACTCTATGCACTCCCCTCCCTGCTGGTCATTGTTTTCAATCAACATGGATTCGAGTCAGGAGCCTGAAACGAGGCGGTACCAACGTCTATATGTCACGTTGTGGGTGTTATAGGTTGTAGAAGGACACGCATTGGTGGAGCTATCAGATGCTGCGGCGCCTGTCAGTACCTTCTACACTGTACGTTTACATTTTCTGTTCCGTCAATACCTGGTTCTATTTCATTTATGTTATAGCTTCTGGTTCGTTCATGTCGTAATACGTGCAACTTCTATGTTTGTGCAGTTCTTATACATGATGGATCTCATTCTCCGCGCCATCTTTTGCAAGCTGCTCCCATGGTTTGTATCGGAGCCCATACAAGGGCTCTGCGGCAACACCACGATGCCTTATTCCTCAATCCTCAGCAGATTCAGTGGCTTTGTGTCACGTGTTGTGAGGGCTAATGCAGCACAGAGGTGGGTGTGGGTAACACAGCAATACAAGAAGGCTGTCACAGGGAAATGATGTATTTTGTTGAGGTAACTACTGTATTTTCTGTTACATCAATTTTAGTGAATGATTTTTGTATCACTTGGCTGTCCTCGCAAAGTTCTTGCAACATTATTATCTCAAGTTTTGATATTATACAGCTTCAAGTTCAGAATAAGCATACGGTATTACCGTATCAATTTGTCAGTGATAGCAACTCAACTACCACATCAAGATGTTGGAGACGTCTCTTTGTCTAACCAAATGGCAATGAGATTACCGTATCTACGGGACAATTTGTAGTGCTGTGTTTGTAGTCATTTGGATAAACTTTTTTTCCATAGAGTTGCTCAGTCACTCCTGAAATGTTGCAGTTGAGATGAATTACCGGTAGGCAAGCTTGTTAAGATATGGGACACACTGCAACTTGTGACCTCAAAAGCAAACCTAAACCACCATCGCAGAAGCAACAGCAGCAGCAGGAGATGTACCGCAACTACTGCTGTTGGTGGTGTCGCTTGTGGTGGCGACATCTCCTCGATTGCCATGCAGACCAGCTCTAGCCATGAATGACCGTACTGCCATACTGCCATACTTATTCATTTGTAGGTGTATCAGTAGGATTGGTAATGGAACGAACCCACTTGGGCGGTCTTATACTAATGTCACTTCAACCGGCAGACAACCATGGCATTGGCACAACACATGGCCCATGACTTGGGTTTAGAACACATGAACCCGCATGGTTGCTCCAAAGGGCAGCACTGTCAGATCCATGGCAACACCAGAGCCTGTTGCTCCCTTCCCTCCCGTTTCAATTTCAACTCACACAAAGCATCTCACGAGCGACAACACTCACCGGTTGGTACCCATCTGCGTGCAGCTCGTAATTGGAAGAGTACACGTGCACCCGCGTGGTTGCTCGCAAGGGCATCGCTGGCAGATCCATGACAGCAGAGGCAATTGCTCCCTTCCCTCCTTCAGTTTCAACTCACACAAAGGATTTCACGAGCAACAACACTCACCGGTTGGTACCCATCTGCGTGCAGCTCATACTGGATGATCGCCGAATCGTTCCATGTGCCGCCCGGAATCATTGATACTGCCGCATTGTCCTCTGTGCGAGTACCCACCACCACCACACGCCTTGACTGTTGAGTCGACTCTGAAATCATTGGCATGATGTATCCTCTGTGCGCGTATCCACCACCACCACCCGCCGCCCGCCGCCTGCCAACTCCATCCTCCTCTCCCCACTTCCCCTCCTCCTCCCTCTCCACTCACACCCTCTCCCCCCACTCACGCCCCCTCTGCCACTTCCGCCCCACCCGCCTCCCCAATCGTCCCCAATCCCTCTACCTCACCTCCTACATGCTGAGACAGCAGCAGCTGGTGCAGCTGATTCACGTCCATCTCAAGCACCTGGCCGAGGGAGGAATGGGGATGGGGATGGGGAGAACAGGGGGGAATGAGTGGCGCAGGGGAACAAGTGAGAGGGTGATTATAGCAGCTGGTGCAGCTCAGTCACACTCATCTTGGGCACTTGGCATGGAGATGAGGAGAGGCGCCGCTGCTCTGGGGGGCTGTGAGGAGGAGGCGCCGCTGCTCTGGGGGGCTGTGAGGAGGAGGCGCCGCTGCTCTGGGGGGGCCTGTGAGGAGGAGGCGCCGCTGCTCTGGGGGGCTGTGAGGAGGAGGCGCCGCTGCTCTGGGGGGCTGTGAGGAGGAGGCGCCCATGCTCTGGGGGGCTGTGAGGAGGAGGCGCCGCTGCTCTGGGGGGCTGTGAGGAGGAGGCGCCGCTGCTCTGGGGTGCTGTGAGGAGGATGCGCCGCTGCTCTGGGGGGCTGTGAGGAGGAGGCGCCGCTGCTCTGGGGGCAGTGAGGAGGAGGCGCCCATGCTCTGGGGGGCTGTGAGGAGGAGGCACCGCTGCTCTGGGGGGCTGTGAGGAGGAGGCGCCCATGCTCTGCGGGGCTGTGAGGAGGAGGCGCCGCTGCTCTGGGGGGCTGTGAGGAGGAGGCGCCCCTGCTCTGGGGGGGCTGTGAGGAGGAGGCGCCGCTGCTCTGGGGGGCTGTGAGGAGGAGGCGCCCATGCTCTGGGGAGCTGTGAGGGAGAGGCGCCGCTGCTCTGGGGGGGCTGTGAGGAGGAGGCGCCGCTGCTCTGGGGGGCTGTGAGGAGGAGGCGCCGCTGCTCTGGGGGGCTGTGAGGAGGAGGCGCCCATGCTCTGGGGGGCTGTGAGGAGGAGGCGCCGCTGCTCTGGGGGGCTGTGAGGGGGAGGCGCCGCTGCTCTGGGGGGCTGTGAGGAGGAGGCGCCCATGCTCTGGGGGGCTGTGAGGAGGAGGCGCTGCTGCTCTGGGGGGCTGTGAGGAGGAGGCGCCCATGCTCTGGGGGGCTGTGAGGAGGAGGCGCCGCTGCTCTGGGGGGCTGTGAGGAGGAGGAGCCGCTGCTCTGGGGGGCTGTGAGGAGGAGGCGCCGCTGCTCTGGGGGGCTGTGAGGAGGAGGCGCCGCTGCTCTGGGGGGCTGTGAGGAGGAGGCGCCCATGCTCTGGGGGGGCTGTGAGGAGGAGGCGCCCATGCTCTGGGGGGCTGTGAGGAGGAGGCGCCCATGCTCTGGGGGGCTGTGAGGAGGAGGCGCCCATGCTCTGGGGGGGCTGTGAGGAGGAGGCGCCGCTGCTCTGGGGGGCTGTGAGGAGGAGGCGCCGCTGCTCTGGGGGGCTGTGAGGAGGAGGCGCCGCTGCCCTGGGGGGCTGTGAGGAGGAGGTGCCACTGCTCTGGGGGGCTGTGAGGAGGAGGCTCCGCTGCTCTGGGGGGCTGTGAGGAGGAGGCGCCGCTGCTCTGGGGGGCTGTGAGGAGGAGGCGCCCATGCTCTGGGGGGCTGTGAGGAGGAGGCGCCCATGCTCTGGGGGGCTGTGAGGAGGAGGCGCCCATGCTCTGGGGGCCTGTGAGGAGGAGGCGCCGCTGCTCTGGGGGGCTGTGAGGAGGAGGCGCCGCTGCTCTGGGGGGCTGTGAGGAGGAGGCGCCCATGCTCTGGGGGGCTGTGAGGAGGAGGCGCCGCTGCTCTGGGGGGCTGTGAGGAAGAGGCGCCGCTGCTCTGGGGGGCTGTGAGGGAGAGGCGCCGCTGCTCTGGGGGGCTGTGAGGAGGAGGCGCTGCTGCTCTGCGGGGCTGTGAGGGAGAGGCGCCCATGCTCTGGGGGGCTGTGAGGAGGAGGCGCCCATGCTCTGGGGGGCTGTGAGGAGGAGGCGCCCATACTCTGGGGGGCTGTGAGGAGGAGGCGCCGCTGCTCTGGGGTGCTGTGAGGAGAAGGCGCCGCTGCTCTGGGGGGGCTGTGAGGAGGAGGCGCCGCTGCTCTGGGGGGCTGTGAGGAGGAGGCGCCGCTGCTCTGGGGGCCTGTGAGGAGGAGGCGCCCATGCTCTTGGGGGCTGTGAGGAGGAGGCGCCCATGCTCTGGGGGGCTGTGAGGAGGAGGCGCCGCTGCTCTGGGGGGCTGTGAGGAGGAGGCGCCGCTGCTCTGGGGGCTGTGAGGAGGAGGCGCCGCTGCTCTAAGGGGCTGTGAGGAGGAGGCGCCCATGCTCTGGGGGGCTGTGAGGAGGAGGCGCCCATGCTCTGGGGGGCTGTGAGGAGGAGGCGCCGCTGCTCTGGGGGGCTGTGAGGAGGAGGCGCCCATGCTCTGGGGGGCTGTGAGGAGGAGGCGCCCATGCTCTGGGGGCCTGTGAGGAGGAGGCGCCGCTGCTCTGGGGGGCTGTGAGGAGGAGGCGCCGCTGCTCTGGGGGGCTGTGAGGAGGAGGCGCCGCTGCTCTGGGGGGCTGTGAGGAGGAGGCGCCCATGCTCTGGGGGGCTGTGAGGAGGAGGCGCCCATGCTCTGGGGGGCTGTGAGGAGGAGGCGCCGCTGCTCTGGGGGGCTGTGAGGGGGAGGCGCCGCTGCTCTGGGGGGCTGTGAGGAGGAGGCGCCCATGCTCTGGGGGGCTGTGAGGAGGAGGCGCTGCTGCTCTGGGGGGCTGTGAGGAGGAGGCGCCCATGCTCTGGGGGGCTGTGAGGAGGAGGCGCCCATGCTCTGGGGGGCTGTGAGGAGGAGGCGCCCATGCTCTGGGGGCCTGTGAGGAGGAGGCGCCGCTGCTCTGGGGGGCTGTGAGGAGGAGGCGCCGCTGCTCTGGGGGGCTGTGAGGAGGAGGCGCCGCTGCTCTGGGGGGCTGTGAGGAGGAGGCGCCGCTGCTCTGGGGGGACTGTGAGGAGGAGGCGCTGCTGCTCTGGGGGGCTGTGAGGAGGAGGCGCCTATGCTCTGGGGGGCTGTGAGGAGGAGGCGCCGCTGCTCTGGGGGGCTGTGAGGAGGAGGCGCCGCTGCTCTGGGGGCTGTGAGGAGGAGGCGCCGCTGCTCTAGGGGGCTGTGAGGAGGAGGCGCCCATGCTCTGGGGGGCTGTGAGGAGGAGGCGCCGCTGCTCTGGGGGGCTGTGAGGAGGAGGCGCCGCTGCTCTGGGGGCTGTGAGGAGGAGGCGCCGCTGCTCTAGGGGGCTGTGAGGAGGAGGCGCCGCTGCTCTAGGGGGCTGTGAGGAGGAGGCGCCCATGCTCTGGGGGGCTATGAGGAGGAGGCGCCGCTGCTCTGGGGGGCT